AAATGCGGCAGCCGATTCAGACGTCGAATTTCTGTCGAATCTAATTCGTTGAATTGAATTCGACACGGCAGAAATGCGACGTATGAACCGGGCCTAAGGATGCGCAATGCAAATGTGAGGAATCGCCGTAAGGGATAGGGTTATGACACGATGATGATGGAGACGTCATCGTTTTTGAAAGCTCCGTTTTCGGCGGAGAATTTCTCTGGCTTGTTGTGGACGGTAGGCCCAGCGCAGAATCTAATAAAGCTGCGTTATCAAATTTCTCCGAGGTCCCTGTGTTTTGTTTTATGTTAGACATTGCGCTCTCGATATGCCTCTTTCCACCCATTAGCTTTAATAGGTCTTCGTAAATTCTAAGGGCGACCTGACAGAATATTGCATGGGGAGTAATATACATTGGACTTGTATCCCATCCTGGGGGGAGTGGGAATGCGCTTGAATAGCACCCTCGTGGTAGGAAAACCGGCTGGGATAATCTCCACTACTGTTTACCTGAGTAATAATTAATTTGAGAAACTTCATGCTGATATTCTCTTTTCTCGCAAAGCATTCGACGATTTATTCTCTGGCAAAGAAAATCAGAGGCGAAACAGTGGGTAAGATGTCTTTATGTATGGTGATTTGTTAGCAATTCTCGTTACCTAACGAAGTAATATTATTGTCACTCGCAGTAAGCCTTTCTTGTACCGTTTAGTCTTGGTTTGGTTTTCAACAAGTTTAGAGGTTTTGCGTCATATGACGTCATTGACGTTCTATATGATTAGTAGGTCCTAGAACTCTCAGACCCCCCACCACCATCCCTCCCCCAACCTACTTCCCAATGGATAGGGTCTAAATCTGTCCGTAACCTCTGTCATGGACGTCAAAGCAATGAGAGGTTCCTTTATTCGCAGGCCATGTCAGATGTGGCGTGACGACATTTTGTTTAGAGATGATCCGTTTGAAAACGACCGAGGCGGTCAATATCTCTATAGTGCTTATTCTGTTTGTTTTGTTTATTTTCAGTGACTCATCAATACCGAGTCAGCCTTCGAGGAGTGAAGTGGACAGTCCTGAATTTAGGGTAATGAATTAACCTTTGTTAACCTCATGTTATGGTCTATTCCAGACCTAAAGTTGACAAAATCTTTTGGCCAATTATCAAAACCGAGTTTAAAACATCAAACACTCGAGATCATGCTCGCTACTTTCAGATATCGAGAAGAGAGTTACGACGAAGTGCGAGATGGAAATATGGTAAAACACTGTCTCCCGTGTCTGATATATCTTGTTAGTCAAAATTAACACTAATTTAAAAACGGTAAACCAAAAATGTCGAATCTTATCCAAATAAGATAAGACAAGAACACCAACCTCCGCGGCTAATTTGTCTTTGTTGAAACCTGATGAATTATTAGTGAGTTTGGGAACAGAGCATTTGAATAAAACGTGCTAATGTAAGCAAACAGCCATCAGCCTATACTTGTGTAACAGGAACTTTTGATGGATTTAAAAAAAAAAAAAAACGTTTAAAAAGACACGTCAAATCATAAACGATACGACCCTAAACCCATGGAGCTATGGGGGTAGATAAACTGGGGTGTCTAAAATTATTATGTCCAAAACGAAAATCTAGGGACAATTTTTTTACACAATGTTGTTCAAGTAATTTTTGCAATTTGATTTTATGTATTTCCAGCCCCCCAGCCCCACGGCTTCCACGATCAGCATGCTGAATGATGATACAACCGACTTGATAGAACGACTTGCGGATGCTCAGCAAGACAAGTGGTTACTTGAGGAAAAGGTACATAGCATTTAAGAGCGGTTTTAAAACAACTCTTTAAAGGGGCGCCTTTACGAACATGGTTTTGAAAATTCAAGACCTCAAAAACATATTTCCACTGATGGAAACCTAAAACGAGGGAAAGCGTGCAATTGGTATCAGGTGAGGGAGAGAAGAAAATACCAAAAAAAAATACGGTTCATGATGAATAAAGTCTGGCCACACGCTACACCAGGCGAATTTCAAAAAGCAGCTTTATTTCTACGGTTAGGCCTACCGTCCACACTAATCCGTCACGAAAACAGAACTTTTGAAAAACGCTCTTCAAACCGGAGGAATTTGAAAACGCCGACTTTACGTTTTAGTGTGGGCGGAAAACATTTTGAAAACGGAGCTTTTCAAAAACGATGTTGCGACGGCAATCACATGATCTCCCTGACCGAGATTTACTCAACCTCAAATTTAAACTGATCGGTAATTGTTGCGCTTTCTAATTTCTCTGGCGTAGTGTGGGCGGAAAACATTTGATGCGCTTTCAGAGTTGAACCTCCGTTTTTAAATTCCTCCAGCGTAGTAAGGAGGGGGCTTAGGTGTGTCCAAGCCAAACAAGCGAATTTTTTACCTAAGTCCAGTTTAGCAATTGCTTGTCACGCAACAGTCTCTTTTGTTTGGAACAATTAGTTGGAATTCTGAGTTGTTTGTTTCTTACAGGTTCGTCACCTTGAAGAAACTGGAGCAGCATTGGCGGAGGACCTGATACAAAAGTCAGCCATAATTCAGGCCTACGCCATGGAAACCAAAATCGGTGAGGTTATTCAAACAAACCAATAATTGTCGTGCATTGCAATATGTGCACTTAATCTTAAACTGTGGGCTTTTGATAACGTTCGAAAATTTATTTTTGTAAAGGATCCTTTTTCGGAAGTCTTCGGGTCTACTCAGAAATAATAGGCAATCTTCGGTGTAAGTTTTTCCTCGACGATCATAGAGAGCAAAAAAAAAAAACAAAACAAAAAATGCCCTCAGTGTAAACCAGTCATAATTAGTAGTTTTTCGTATGTTCTTAAAACTATTTACGTATCTTTCATTCAGGTCCCATTGCAGAGTCTCCTAAACCATCTCCAGTGGCATCGATTTCTTCGTTGAAAGAAAAGATTCGCTCTCCTTTTGCGAAAGGCAAAGAGAACACGAGAAAGATCCAGCTTATGTTGGAAGAAACGCTCACGAAGAACGTACAACTTCAGCGGGTAAATAGATCAAACATTGTTAATTAGACAAATACGCGGCGGGAACTTTTGAGCAGATTCAAATCAGCCATGCATTTCCAATTTGCCTTTAGTGTATGTTTCAAAACGAGTTCTTTTGCTTGCAAAGCTTTTGTTATGAAAATGAGTTGATGCGCATGAAAATTAACCTGCAGATGAAACACGTTTTCATATGACTGGTTTTGTGCGAAGGCTAGTTTTGACAAAGCAACAAAGAGCAATAGGCCATTTTACAGTTATGTGCTTGGTTACCTGGCCTATGAATGCAAGCGAGGCTGTAGGTGACCTTGCTTTCATACAGACCTCTCTGCTTTCCTCATTTAAATGCCGACAAGCTAGCATAAGAACAACTTGATTTACACAACAAAAGTAGTGAGGTCTGTATCAAAACAAGGTCACCTCCAGCCTCACTGTCATTCAAAGGCCAGGTCACTGAGCAGACAACTGTACAATGGTCTATTCGGAAATGGCTTATTCCATGAGAGTGGCAAGTAGTAGATGGAGGTCTATGAGAATCCAAACACGTAGATTTAAAGATTCTCTACATTAAGCCTGTTTTCTTCATCTCCCTTCGAAGGACATAGACGCAATGTCAAAAGAACTTCAAAACTTCAAGCAACAGGAAGTGAATATTCCGGAAATAAGCGAAGCTGCCAATTCGTCACTAGATTCCAGCTCACCGCAAGCTACAGATGTGCAGGAACCTGACGCTAGTTAGTAGTTACGGGGCGGATTGCAGTTTTCGGTAAAAGTAGATAGAATTCAAATTAAGTATTTTTGCATAATATCATCGGTATAAATATACATGTATATGTTGTAGATTTGATAAACGTATAAGGTTAATTCTAATAGTAAAGGTTGGCGTTTGCAAATGTGCAGAACTAAAAAAAAAGTGTCTACCCTGGTTGCGGAAGGTTTTTTTATTTTTTTGTCGTTCCGCTAAGCTCAAACGAAATGGAATTTTGCTTAGAAATATATGTAAAGGAACCTGTAGCCGAAGCCAGGGTTAATTTTCAAATATTTTAAAATGGTTGTTACCGATAAAATATAAAGCTGTCGAAGAGGGAAATAAATCTGGTATTGCACCAGCGAAGTGGACGTCCTAGTATTTTTGCAGATTTTATTTTAGTGTCCTCCTCCTCAGAATATGATCATTCCTTTTGGAGGACATCGAACATTCTTTTTTGTAAGTTCTTGACGTATAAAGAATACGATTTATAATTCAACAAACTTACTTGTAGTCTTGGGTACCGAAAATGTGACAGGGATATGTGTTTAATTTATAGACACTCTGTATTTTTGCGGTGTACGGTGGAGTTTGTGGATGGAGAGTAACAGAATAAACCTCCATTTATTATATAAAAGTTAGCAGTATACCGAGTGGTGACAAATGTAAAGATCTGATGTCCTCACATGTGAAGATACAATTTTGATACCAATTTTTCTTGTCTCNTGTAAGTTCTTGACGTATAAAGAATACGATTTATAATTCAACAAACTTACTTGTAGTCTTGGGTACCGAATATGTGACAGGGATATGTGTTTAATTTATAGACACTTTCTGTATTTTGCGGTGTACGGTGTAGTTTGTCTGAACTTATGAAAGGTAGCGTTCATACAAGGTTTCTGCGTAAGTTTGTCTGTTTATTAAGATATAGATTTTTCACAGTTAGACTAGTGTAGCTACGAGGTAACTTCAAAAGAGGATGGAGAATAACAGAATAAACCTCCATTTATTATATAAAAGTTAGCAGTATACCGAGTGGTAACAAATGTAAAGATCTGATATCCTCACATGTGAAGATATAATATTGATACCAATTTTTCTTGTCCCTTTAAGGTCATTCCCCAGCATTGCATTGCGCATCCCTACTGCGCATAATTTCACGCGTGATTAGCGCGCGCACACTAAAAACTGGCGGCTTTTTCTTTACGGCTAGACCTCGCCATAGAGGTAAATCGTCATTTTCTCGCAAACGAGTATGGTGACCTATCATTTTTGTGGGGGCTTCAACCTCCACTATGCAACCGTCGGCGGAATTTATTTGTCTACGTGTCGCGTATCGCGAGGTCTTCTGGGAGGAAT